AAAGATTTTGAAATTAAGCCCCTGTTTGGCACCCATTTTTTTCTCATTCTCATTCTCATTCTTTTTCTCTTTCTTCATTTCAACCACACATTCTATCAATAAAATAATATTACACATAAACTTAAAAATTCTTCTTACTTTTTAACCACATATTCTTCCATCAATCACTATTCAAAAACACATTCTTTCACAAAAATGGGTATCAAACACCCCCTAAGCTTGAGCATTGAATTTAAAATCGTAAAAAGTCAAAAATCTGACAATCCAATTCGAATCAGTTGTCAAATTGGCTAGAAGTTGAGTTTTGATCGGTGCATTTATTCTGAATTTGTGCCCGTGACTCAGGCAATGACTTCGTAAAGGGAACCTATAAGAGCAAAAGCGAGTCTTTATTAGGCAATTGTCACAACTTACAGACCCGAACTTCAGTGTTTAGGGATGAAGCTTGGGTGGATTAGGCAACTAAGAAGAAATGTGCCTTTTTAAAGTTCCCAACATATTTGAAATGTATCAAGTGAGTCCTTTAATGCTTTTTGAGACATAATCTCCTCAACCTTTCAAAGAAAAGACTCCTTCAGCCCCCATTCTCTATCTGGGTCAAGCCCGCTTTGGTTTATATTAATAGGTTACTAGGATTTGAAAACTGTAAATGAATAATTCATTATTCTTGCTAACACAAGAAATGAAAACCCCAATCATCATTCTTGTTCTCTGTGTGGATTATCGTTGAAGGCTGGACAATTGGACAGTTTAAATTGTAGATCGTGATCATTCGAATTCAAGAAAAGTAAAAGAGTTTATGAAATTCATCAAAAGTATAATTTTTATCACAGTTTTTATCGAAACACAATGTAAATCCTTTGTGCGAATTGAAAATTATTTTAGTTTCCACTGTGCGTGATTAAGTGAATTTTCAACAGTGGTATCAGAGCCTACTTTGTGTTTGTTAGAAATTATTTTATATCTTGAACAATCAAACNTTCCACTGTGCATGATTAAGTAAATTTTCAACAGTGGTATCAGAGCTTACTTTGTATTTGTTAGAAATTATTTTATATCTTGAACAATCAAACGTTCATTGGTTATATATTTTCTTGAATTTAACAATTTAGAAAATTATTTTTCATTTTTGAAATCTGTTTTGAAAAGTAAAATAATTGTTTTGCAAAAAAAATAATAATAAATAATAAAATATATATATCGAAAATTGGACAGGACCGAAGCCGGCGACCACTGTCGCCGTCGACATGTGCCCAGGCGATAAGGGCAACGCCAACGCCGCTGCGAGGTGAAGTAGCTCTTGACGCAATTTACAGAAGGAATGGCTTGTCATGCAATTTAAAAAGGAATGGCTTGTCGTGCAATTTACATAATTAAAGGGCCTATTAAACCAGGGTCAATTTGCAATTTTCAAAAGATTTTTGAATTTAACTTTTAAAATGATTTTAAATTTGATTTTCAAATGGGTTTTGACCAAAATTTCAAGTTTGACCCATTTAAAATTTTATTTAAAAAATTGACGACTTTTGTATTTTCGTTAAAATTGAATTTTAACTTAAATATTAAACTTTGACTCTATGACCCTATTTGGTCTACATTATTTTTTTATTCTCATTATT